AAAACGCTGAACCACGGCCGAAGGTGTAGGAGCGTAATGCTTCCCGAGTACAGCCAGACTCTCGGTGAGTGACTTGTCCTGTGGAGGCAGTGGCTTCACCAGGTTCCGAAGTAGAGTGTACGTCCTTTGGCCGCAGCAGCTCAAGAAAATCGGCTTCTTGTTCGCAGCAGCGATGTCGTTGGCGTTGAAAAATGAATGAATTCGTTTCACGTAGGCAGGCCACTCATCGCCTCCCCCCTCGAAGGCTTCAATGCGGCCGAACGTTGGCAATCTTTTTTCTTCTTCTTCCTCGTCGCCAATTGTTACGAGTGCGGAGCGCGAAGAAAAGACATCCGAACTGGGTGACAGCTCACAACACACTGGTCTTTAATATCCCACAAAGAATTCATTGCCGTTCTTCCTACATCAGTTTAGAAGGCGATGCAGGCGGCGCTATATGCGGTTAACACCCATGTTTTCTCCAACGTCTTCACTAAGAAATCCTGTAAGGAAGTCTCCTACAGGAGGATGGTTCACCGAAAGTGGTGGATTTGCGAAGATGAGTAGTTTGTAATTCTGCGGCTACAATTAAAGGATTATTATTATTATTATTATTATAAATTTAATAAATGTCTAAGCTGTAGGAAAGACCATGTTTCAAACCGAGAAAAAGAATGTTGTAAAAACATTTGAAGTTATAGAAAAGTAAGGGTCACTATTTCAAATAACAGCCAGTCACCTTTTCTTTTCTTAAGTAGTCAGATAATCTAACTGACAACATTTTGATCAAAATAAGTTGTAATTTTAACAGATTACTTTTTCGAGAAACGTGCACCCGACTGAATACGACTTGCTGCCGACGGCCATCTACAGGAAACGTACGCTGAACTAAGTTTACTTTGCCTTGAAAGCATGCTTGCGGACTAAATATGCCGGGCTATGTTTAACTTGCTGCTGAATGCCGACTGCAGACTAAGTACGCCGACCCAAGTATGAGTCACCGTCGACGACCTCCTGCGTACTGAGTACGCCTGGGTTATCTCTCGCAGCCGACAGACACGTGCTACTCCAGGCGACCGTCAGCGGGAGTCGTACTTAATCCAGCTGCCTGTGCCTTCTTTCACCTGCTCATTGTGGCGCTGAGTAAAGGCGTCGGCTTGCTAATCGCATGGTATGGGGTTGGATTTCCATTGAGCCCCCTTGAGATATTGCCGGTTGCGACTAATTGTGCCTGGTTATGTATGAATACCTTCTATATGTCTTGTTTGCTCGTGCATCGCCTGCTCTGGGCTAATGCATGTTTTATGTTGCCTCTGCTTGCGTCTAAAGCTCTCCAGCCACATAGGAACGTTGTGTTTTTCGCATCAAATTCAACCCATTAACACCATATATGTAAACATTCCAGTTTCTAATTCGTATCCCAAAATGGCATTCCACAGATGTCATCCCATCGATGAACGGGTCCAAGGTTTATATATTAGGTACTGGGCGGACCGTACGTAAATAACTAACAAAGAAGTGCAGGATGTTTTTATTGCATTTTATTAACGGGCCTTGGACCTTTCGGGTGACCTGGGCGATTAATGCGAGTCGAATTAGGCTTTTACAAAGCATGTATTGTGTTTTTCTTTGTACCGCGATGGTTGTTCTTCCCAAGTTCAGGAGACGTTTGCTCTCCTCGCGCAGCTTATGCTTCTGAACTTTGCCGGTCTGAGTCCTCAGGAAAGAGTCCGCGAACAGCACATATTCCGGTACCTTGTGCCAGGGTAGCTGTAATTATAAGGTTTGTTCGGTGTGCATGGCAACTAAGAAAAAAGAACAAAAAAAAAAAACTCAATAAAGCTTTCTTCCTCCTTTGGTATTCTTTGGTAATACAGGAATAGCGCTGTGCTTCTGAGATCCGCAGTGATAGCAATGCACCGTCATTGCTCGTGACTTGGAATTCGAGCTGCGCAGCCTGTGTAGTGCCATGTCACTGTCCAACATTGAATGGGTTTCCGTCGCGCTCTTCACATCTGCGTCAAGTTATGAGGCAGGTTCAATCGCCTTCTAAAATGTTAAGTGCTTATTTTTAGTGAACAAGTGTCTCTGAACGTCAACTCGCTGAAGGCCACAAGAAAAGAGGTCTCGGAGTGACTCACCTAAGAGGGTTCCGAATTCGCACGTTTACGAAGGGCGTCGTATCTCGGCCGCGAACTGTGAAATGGCTTCATTTTTGTACTGCAACCAATGGTGAAATTTAGCACGCTCGCCAATAACGCGCGACCTGGGCGAAAAGTGGCCAAGAAGTAGTTTACGCAATGCGCCAAAAGACGGACGATGGGGTTTCCGGAGCGGTCAAAGACTTGAGGAGGGAGTAAGTTTTTGGACCGATCAAACTCACGAAGGCATCCACTTCGAGGTCTTTCGGAACTATGTTGGCCCGTAAATAGGCTACCAAGTGCTCTTCATAGTAAAGTTAGTCACTGGTAGATTCATCAAACTGTTCTACGTGTCCAATACTTGTGGCTGTGGCAAAGGAGTTGACGACGTTCTCGACGCAGTACCAACCACGGGTGGTCCGCAAAAGCACCCGCTGGCAAAAACTCTGTGTCAAATGCCCAGCGGCAAACTCCGTGTCTATTTCGCCCCTCATTGAATGGCCCCAGTTTAAGAAGCCCATCACTCGAGTCTTCGTGTCAGGTGGCCGGGTCTTCAATCTCACGGCGGGGCATTCTGCTTCTAGCAAAGCGTTCACGCGATCATGTACAACATAATCGTGTCTTTCCCGAGACTCAAGTAAAAAATAACTGAACAATACTTTCCGTTCTTGAGACTAAAACTAAACAGTTTTACGTATTTCACAGTTAGAAGTGAAAATAAGCAAACAATACCTTACATCGCAAAACGTTTGAAGTGAGGGATTTTTTCAATAAGCATTGAACCAAAGCTTTAGTCGGCTTTAAAGCAGGCGCGGATTCACAGATCCAACGAAGTAGGGTCTATCAGCACCTTTAATCAACCGCTAATGGAGCCATACTTATCACGGCGCCAAGCAGCAGTTCTATTTTTCTTGCGTTGTTCTAGTCTAAATCTGCGTGTGAGCTCCTTCCGTGACAGCTGAGTGCATTGCTGATGATGCAGATTTATGCTATTGGGAACCTGTACGTCATTTTAATTTTTTCAGCCGTTCAAGTTAACCTTATACATAGCTTGCAAGTGTCCCCATTGCTTGGTACGGACGGTTATTTCTATTTACTGGTTTCTGCGAACAGCAATTTTTGCGGTCTGCAAGTAAGACGGCGAACCAAACGAGAGCGGCGAAAATACCGGCATGGCCGCGAATGACATAACATGCAAGCATCTATTGTGTCGTTTTTTTAAATGATCCTTTGTACACCCTTAACAGATAAGTCTAAGCCCGAAGAGGGTGAGACGGGGAGAGTGAGGACAGGGCTTTTGGCACGTGAGGGATACGGGGCGTGATAAGTGAGCGTGTGGTTTTTGAAACGTGGGGATAATGACGCGCACCTTCTGCGACAGGGATTCTGCACGCGGGGTGATCGCGATGCACCCCTTACCACGTGTTGCGTCGGAATGGGCCGTGATCCCGCGGCTTGCTCGACGTCCTCATTGTCATTATGTAGTGCTCGCCCGACTCGGGAAGCAGTAGGAATGACAGTAGCCGAAGAAGTGCCTGGGGATGCCTTAATTCAATGGCTTAATCAAGTGAAGAGTCGCCGGCGTTCCGCGAGCACGTTAACTTAAAACATCTTGTCAAAAGAGGGATAGGGTGCGTTCCGGGGCTGGAAGCAAGTGGAAAATGAGAAAGGGGGCGCGTCACATCGGCTTTCAGTACGCGCGCGAAATACAACTGTCTTAACACTTAAGATTTGGGATTGACCGGAGTTCGAAAGGAAAGCATGCTATAGCCGTCCGAAGACTCGCAAGGGGACGGGACTTGGCAGACAGGAATGTGAGTTTGTAAACTGCTTTGGTTTCAATCGCCACAGGGTGATTCCACGAGAGATTGAACCAGCAGGTCCACTCAACATTTTCATTTCTTTTGGTTTTTATATATGTGATTCGCACTCAAATGAATCGAACTTTTTTGTCTCGAAACGGCGTTTTCACTACGAGAAAAAAAATGTTTTAGGATTGCGCGACGGCCCCGCTCCCACCGCGGACTGCATTAGGTGCCAACTTTGCGTTCCCGTGGAAGGCAGGCAAAGAGCGGTACGTCAAAAATGTTTCCTGTTTCATGTAACACACCAAAGTGTAAGTCAACTGCATGCAAATATTGTGTGCTTTATGAATTAAAACATATATAAAAAATTCTAACTTTAGACCAAGTGCAACAAACACACTAACTTTCAGGACTTCTACCTCAATCACCTCAATCTGTATGGCATTAACGAGTTCGAAAGCTACACATATTATAGGCCAAGGCATCTAAATTATTTGTGAAAAATATGGGCTCCAAATAAAAATATAAACATAAAAAAATTATTTATAAAAAAAACACATTTTCAAAAATAAAATTGTATTGAAAAAACAAAAGAAAAACAAAAGAAACTCGGTCTCGATTTCATTACGACTCTGGGGTACAACTCTCCTTAGGGCAGAGAGAAAGAAAGTGCAAAAACATGTTGCATCATTTGTTTCTTACAAAACTTTTAACCGGTCAAAGTGCCGGTTGCAAAGCGTCTTGACTCCGGCGTTTTTTCGATTCTCCCCACTGCTAAATTTTTTTTCTAAAAAATTGCAACTTTCTTTTTTTCGCAAATAAGAGAGTTTATGTGTTGTAGCCAGCTGTCAGAGAAGGTATTTTTCCAGATTTTGTTTTGCTTGTGGCGATTGGGAGCGATTGGGATAGAGATAATCAAGATTAAAATTGTTACCTATACGCTCATCATAATTATTTACGTCAATAAAAGCTCACAAATTGGACAAAAATGAACGGTAAGCAAAGGACTGATTAGATGAATAAACGAACACGACAAATGAGATCACGGCAGAAGGTGGCAAACCAGTAAAAAGAATATTGGTATAACCATTGTTTTAGTAATTGTTTTTATACACTCTGTTTTGTTTGATATTATTTAGTTATTTGGTACTCCACTACGCGCACCTTCTGCGATAGAAACAATCTGTTAGTGTGTAATTTAAGTACACGATAACCTGACTGAGGTTGTTCGCCCCGAAACCCGCAATCTGCAACGCTGTGACTAATATAAAAAATGTAGAGGGTAGGCTTTAGAAAAGAAAAGGTGGAAGTAGCAGAAGAAAAAAAAAGTGCTAAACTTAAAATTCCATGCCTCAAAGTGTCGTTTTGCTGTTGCCAACTGACTTCTGAAGAGAGTTAGGGGTGATATAAAAATTATTAAAAATAGTACAATAAAAACACACAAAAAGAAAAGAATCATACCTCTTTATTGTGTTTTGTTAAATACTCGGCAACACTCCGGGTAACCTCCTGCGCTATTAATTTTTTTACAAAGCAGCGCTCGCGGTCGATGGCGAATTCCTTCCAGTGAGACAATGCTTCCACGTCAGTGAATACACCAAGTTGTTTAGAGTAAAGTATTTTTTTCCGTTTGTTTCTTGTTTCACATTGATCTTTCTTCACAGGTTAAGGAGTCGCACACTGTCCTCCCGCATTTTGTGCTTCTGGACTTTTCCGGTCTGAGTCCTCGGGAAGGAGTCCACAAAGAGCACGTATTCCGGTATCTTGTACCAGGGTAACTGAAATTATAAAGTTGTTTTGTTTTAATTATGCGTCCGCATTGAACAAAAAAAAAAAAAACTCAGAATATTTGTTTTATATAATTTGTAATATTGAATAAATATTTTTGTTATCCTCAAGTGATTACCAAACTTAACTATATCCCAGCTTCTAGTGGCAGAACGCTTTCATAAGTTTATTCCCCTTGACCCTGGGCTCGGAAATATCTCGCAAGATATAGTGCCTTGCGAAACTATATTTACCGAGATGACATTGTAGGGCGTGCCCTTGAACGTCGGAGGAGTGGCACTACGCCCTCCGGGATGCATAGATCCAAATGAAAGCTGAGTAATATGTTCCTACTTTTAGAGGTCACGCTTGTCTGTCTATGTCTCAAGTATAGGTGCGTTTCTTTACAGCCGTGTTTGGGGTAGATTATAGGGTCATTCTTCAAGTATTCAGAATGCTGCTGAAGACTGGAGGTGTCTCTCAACAGGTATGAACTTGTCCATTACCTCCTTTTCCTTGCAAAATTTCTTGATGTCTTCTGAGGATAAGGTTTTATTTGGTTTCAGTTTGATCCAGACACATACTCGTTCAACTGTCTGCTCGTCCGGTACTCCAATCACCTGTCAAGAAAAAATTAGAGGGAATTTTAATTTAGTTTCTAATGTTTTATGTAAGCTCCAAACTTGCTTTTATCTGTATGCAGTAAAGGAAGGGAATACTGTTGAAAGACCTACGATACTGGTTACGTATTTTTAAAATATATCAGGTGCAACTAAAATTTAAGTCTCTTCATTCAGGTCACTTCAGCCGCTTGTTGAAATGCTCGCTTTTTACTATTTTCAATTTGTACGTTGTGTTTAAACCATTCTTTGATTAGTGTGTCTTGAATGTGATGATGCCTATTTTCGTTTCTTACTTAGTAGTGTTTTTGGAAAAGTGCCAGAAGTGCACCAATCGTGGGGACATGGTGGTTGTTATGGACACTTTAATTATGATTTTTAATTATTTATTAATATTGTTGTTAATAATATTAATAAGAATGAATTGTTCTTATTCTTCTTATTATTATTAAGTACTTAGGTATCTACTTTGATTGTTATTTATCATGGAAAACACATGTCTTACTTCTGCCAACGGTTGCGAACTATTTCTTGTTTAATGTATAGTTTAAAGTGGTTTGTACGTTTATGTATAAAAAGAAAGAATTATGCATGCCCTGGCGTACAGTTTACTGAGGTATGGCATTACAGTCTTATTCAGTTGTTATCTTGTATGGCACACAAGAATCGACCGCATCATGCGTGGCCTTCCAAAAAACGTTGCTTACCACCCGGAATACTCATCGACCGATAACTTCCTTCGCCTAGCTTGAACTACCATCGTTCTTCTCTTGATTTCTACAAACGGTCATCTGGAAACACTTCTGGGGGCGCGAGTTTAAAATCATTTCGACACCAATCCGTGAGCTTCGAGCAGCTCCACTTTTCCATACCCCAAGAGTGAGAATTCGCTATGGTGAAAGTATGGGCAAATAGTATGTGCTGAACGTTTTCGATACGATTCCAGACTCTTTGCTTTCCCCGACTTCCAACAAAACATTTAAGAAAAATCTTAGATCTTTGTTTTCTTACGTGTTGCGACAGCCATCGTGATAGCAATGGGAAGCCTACCTGGGCAATTGTATTCTATTTTTTTTTTAATTTTCATTTCTGCACACAACCTTATCGCAGGATCCAACGTTTTCAAAATTTCAGGCCTATTTTTTTGCCTTTGCGCTGATTTTTTTTTATCAACACAGGCTTTTATGTTTTGCTTTTTTCCAGTAATGTAACTGTTTCCTGAAGACCTCTTCGAACCTTGCAACCTGTGTCGTAGAAAAAAGTCAGAAAGTGCGTGCGTGTTTTTTTTTTTTTTCTTGCTTGTACGAATACGATTGCTAACTCTTCTCAGCCACAACTTCGAGAAGCACTTTCCTATTTTTGTGGTGATGCGCAAATGAAAACGTGCGTGCCTGTGTGCATTTTGTATTACTTAACTTTTTTATATTTTACCTTTTCCGCCTTTCAAAGAGCTGCACTGTTTTTTTCCAACGGAACTGTATTATTTCGATGCTCGCGAATTTTTCTAATTTTGTTTATTGAGCTGCATTTCTTACTCCTGTTTGATTTTTTCTTAGTGTAATCTCTGGACCTGGTCTTACAAGCCCTAACTGGCTTTGACCAGTCCGACTACTACTACTACTATTATTATTATTATTATTATTATTACGGAGAAAAGAAGTGGTTGGGTTCAGGCGTTCCTCTCTATTGTGCTATATTTTATCCTGAAACCCTGCTCTGAGGGCCCAGATATTTCCTGCAGCATTGTGTGGTGAGAAACTAGACCTTGTTTCTCTACCGGTATAAGGAGAGGATCCCCTTCGTGCCTTCTAGTTCGCCCCCTAAAGGCCCCAATTCTGGTCCTGATCAACGCTGATCATCGCACCACACTACCGAATCTGCTACCTGAGCAAGGTCTTCCAGAACAACTCGTTCGATGTCAGCGCTATTTACCCCCCTTGTGAGGTATTGCGATCTTCTGCAACCTGGTGCAAGACCAACCATAGGCCTTTCAGCGATCATCCCTTCCTTGCCGGGAACCGAAAACCAGTGTACTGCGAATATCTATTTTTTCGGTGACCGTTCAAGCTGTGCACAATTACCGTTTAGACGGTGTTGCCTTTTTTTAGGTGTGCTTACGTTTCCTTGGCATATTTTTCTATATCCACATCAGCCTATAACCGTGTTTGCTTTGTGTGATGCCTGCGTAAAATACATTTCCCAGGACGGCCGTCACATGACGTGCTTGGTTTGCGCGAAGGACTACTATCTGGGGAAAACGTGTCCTGGAAGTACGATAACCTTCCAGCCAAGTAGTCTACCCACGCGAAGGACATACATGACCTTCGGTCGGAGGTGGGGGCACAGAATACCACGGTTTCAGAGCAGACACAGACTATTGAAAGCCTGCAAACGGAGATGGACGACGCTGAACAACGGACTCGCCTGCAAGATATAGAAATTTATGAATTAAGTGTCACACCTGGTGAGCCTTTGCCCTCCGTCTTAGTGGGGCTCGCAGAGAAGCTTGGAATTGAAGGACACCAACCATCCGACGTGGTCTCCGTTTACAGGCTACAGGCTAAGCTAGCAATAAACCCTTCTCTTCAGGTGAAGCTTGCATCCGTTACCGCTAAAGACAGATGAATGCAGGCGCGTGGTCCTCACGGACAATGTTCGGGATGATTTTGCTGATCCCTGGGACATTGGGGTCGAGGGCGCAGCTGGACGGCGTGGGTGCAGTGACGCCAGGAACTAGGTGATAGTGGGTGGCTCGTGCTTGAAGGGCACGTTCGATGTTGCTGGCCTCCGTGATGAAACCTTAGACGGTGGTAGGCGGGCTCCGAACAAGGCCTTTGAAGATGTTTTCCTTCACGTCACGCATAAAGACCCGCAGCTTTTTCTCTTCGCGAGCTTTTGGGTCGGCGCGATTCATCAGGTGGAGAACGTCATCGACGAAGCTTGTGAAGCTCTCTGTTGGCCCTTCGGTTCTCGCTCGCAGATGTTCTTCGGCACGCTGTCGCCGCTGCTGGTTCGCAAAGGGGCGTCGCAGCTTGGCGCGGGTTTCTTTCCACGACAAAATCGACGCTTTGTGGTTCTCGTACCAGGTGCGGGCCGTGCCTTCCAAAGCAAAGAACACGTTCTGCAGGCTCTGGTCAGTGGTTCATCTATTATGGCGGGCTACCTGTTCATAGTGCAGAACCCAGTCCTCCACGCCCCCGTAGATCTCGCTATGGAAGGTCGTCGGGGTTCGGTGGACGACGGGCAGGTAGACGACAGCGGCGGCGGTCGGGGTCTGCGACGACTCGTGGTCCCTCGTCGGCCTCATTGGCTGCTTGGTCTTGTTTGGCAGCAGTCCGTATTTCGGGTGTAGGCCCTGGATGCGGCGACTTACTCGGGTCGCGATGGTGTCTTCGTTGGGTCTACCTGTGATTGGAGTCGGACCTGCACTGCGGGCCCCCAGAGGGGTACGCTGCAAGGACTTGCATTACCCGCACCTCCACCAAAATACTACAAATGATCAGGCGAGGAAACAAACAATAACTGAAGAAACTGAAAGGTATAAGGGGACCAACTTGTGCGCAAAAATAAAAAAAAAGGAAAGAGAAGGTAACAGAAGAGCGTCGCGGACGTCGAAGTCGGCGTAACAGCAGAGACGAACGCTGGGGTGAGACTGACTTCGGCTTGCCACGCGAAACGCCTCTTGTAGACGCGTGGGTTTCTGGAACATTCGGCCTATAATGTTCGGCACATAAAACATTCGTAACTCGATCAAATGAGAATTTTCTCGAACTTACGAGAACGCCAAGTTGAAAAAAACAAATAAAAAATCATTCGCTGGAATCGAACCCAGGCCTCTCGCGCGACAGCCAATCGCGTAAATCCTTCGGCCACGCACGCGATCGCTCCGCGAAGCGCGTGGCAATATTCGTAAACGATATTTGGATGCCTATATTTTGAGCGGATGGCTATATTTTCCGCGACAAATGCTCGATTTTGGAAAGCGCTTCAAAATCCGACATCGAGGAGCTCAACGTTTCTTGTGGCATCTGCCGCACACATTACGTTGCCGGCTTTTCCACAGTCACTTTTGGTGTGGTTATCAGCTTCTCCACTCGGTGGCATCGACGCGTTGCAACCTCGTCTCTTCAACCGCCGTAGAGTCAGTCATTTAGGCAGCCTCGGCAGTCAGTTTTGATCGCGGGTATGATTATCCGTACTAGCTTGCGCGATGACGAATCACCACGAGAGCGACGCCGAATGGGAGCATGCGAACGATCAGCAAGAAATCTGCCATGACGAAGGCACCACGGGATAGAACACATCGTAGACGCGACAAGCGGCTCGGAATAGAACACGACTTGCGTGATTGGTCTGCTTTGTCGTCCTAAGAAGCAGAAGATCCAACATGGCCTAGGGTGGTTTAATGTGCGCTTTGCTTGGGCTGATGACATCTGATTATTCGGTTCCGGACACTTATCTTTTCGTTATGTTCTGAAGCGCGTGAAAAGGTGTCTCCCTGCACGTTGTTATTGTTGACAGTGCTATTGCGACGTTTTGTTTACGGCAATTTCTTTCTCGTTTTTTTAGTGCGTTCTGTCGGAATCGTGAGCTACAAAGGATGTTATCACACTATATAAAATGGAATAGACACATTTTAACGAGGACAACTCTACATTGACTTTGTACATCAAATCCTTGCGACTGTGTCGAAGCCCTCGCCGTTTCAACGAGTGAACCGTGCGTACAAGGCATGGTTCTGGTGTCGGGAAACCAACGACCTCACAACATCTTCATAAACCTTCGCCACCATCTACCAGGTGCGATCTGGTCATCGCGCCATTAACCTTCAAATATCAGAGTTCACCAATGAATGATTGATGCTTTTGGGTGCAGATGGAACTAGGTTTTTACCTAAGCAAAAAAAACCCAGTAAGTGTTTTTTTTTCCTAAACACACGTCTTTTATGTAGAAACGTTGACGAAGCACCGTTTACTCTCCGTGGTTTACACCGAACAAAACCTAGGTAACTTTACTTTGATTTCAGCGCCAAATGTAGCAAAAGAATGGCACTAATTTTACCCGACGATGGTGTGGGGCGACGATAATGATCCCTTTATAAGGAGAACCCGAGGGACAAGGGACAAACACAAATCTGTCCCTTGTCGCCCTGCTTCCTTTTTCCAGGGATAATTATCGTCATTCTTCTCCAGCTCGCTTGCACCTTTGCATTCCCTAATGAAAAATACATCAGGCAATCCTGGTGTGATAGCAGAGAACCCTGGGGTGACACCAGAAAATCTGTTGTGCTCCCCAGCAATGCTGGTGTATCGAGCACATGAGCCTGGCGTGTCGAACAGAAATGCTGATGTTCCCGCACACCAGCCTTGTGGGCACACCTAGAGAGTCTGATGTCACACCACACGGGCTCATGTACCCACCATGCGGCCTGGTGTGCACGCCACGCAGTCTGATTTCACACCAGTGTTGTATTTTTGTTGATTTTTCCCCGGTCCGCGAGGGTGTTTTTGTTTGGTTTCTGTGACGCCCCTCCCCCCGACGTGGTGCCTCGTTTCCTCTCGTCTTGGTGGTTGCCGGAGACCCCGTGGCGGGTTATTTTGTGCTCAAGAAGTGTCCCCCTCGTCCCCAGCACTTTTCTTGATGGCCTTGAGTCTTCGGGCGCTCGCCTCTTCGGTGGTTTTCCTCCCCCTTCCCGGCTATATTCTTGTTAAAGTTTGAGAAAATAAAAGAGTCTGCTCTGTGAGTCGAAGCTGAAAAAAATGTGTTGGCGCGCTTTCCTGGCTTCCGACGAGCTAAAGATATGTAGACATAGTCTGGTAGCAAAACAACAAAGAAAGCTAGTGATTACTGCAGTTTTTGGTGCCGAAACCCGGGAATTAACCGCCAGATCATGCCTACGAGCCAGGAGGGCGTCGACCACTTGAAGCGAAAGAGGGCTATTCTGCAAGCCGCCACACAAAGATCACCAACGAGATTGGCGTTATGCTGGCCACGGATCGAACCGACATCGGTAAACTCGAAAAACATTTGATATTGTTCTGCTCAAAGCGGCTTCCCTGAAATAGCTGGACAAGGAAATCAAGCCATCTGTCAAATATGATGCCTTAGGGGAGGAGATAGCTGGCGCGGAGGGATACGAGGAACAGATTAGCCTAAGACACGAGTCAACCGCAAGCTGAAAGGCCAAGAATTGCGGAACGACAAAACGTCCGGTTCTTCGACGCAGGGCAGTTGCTCTGGACAAGCTCCAGTTGATCACGGCCAACTCCTTACTACAGTAAAACTTCCGAAGCTTTATTGTCTTGGTTTTTTGCTTCTTTGAAGAAAGTAATTATGACAGCAGCATCACTGTAAAACTTATCATTGTACATTTCTGTGAGTAAAGCGACACCTAGTCAACAGGTGCTCTGTTTAACAAAACCTAAAGTCACACCAGAACACCAGGTTGCCGGTGTCACACCAGAACACCAGATTGCTGGTATCACACCATCACATTAATTTATGGTGTCATAACAGAACACCAGATTGCTGGTGTGAAAATGTCCCAAATCACATCTATGAAAAAGTCTGGTGTCACATCACGTCAGACCAGCCCTCGGCCTGGTGTATTTTTCACTAGGGTTTAATTGCACTATGATAGATGGTGTGGTGATTTATTGAACAGAGGAAAACAAGTCAAGGCGGCGCTGTCAAAAAGCAATCCTCTGTAACTAACGAATCTACGCATGCACATCTCGCACTGTCTGCCGTACTATCAGAACCATACCTGCGCCTCCTCGAGGTCCGGGTGAGTGCTGAGGACATTCTCAATCTCCAGCGGCGGCACTTTCAAGCCCCTGTAGTTGATCATCTCTTTGATGCGGCCCAGGAATGTGAGCCGACCGTCCTCGCTCATTGATCCCTCGTCTCTGCGAATGCGTGTTCAGACCGGAAAACGTATTTTACACCAGCCTTCCTATTTTATCTTATTTGAAATTCCTTAACGTTTTAAAGACACACCAGAAAATATTGGGTTTGTTCGACTTAAATCGCATATATAACAAATGAAAAATACAGAATAGCGACGTCGCTATTAAATATCTCTTCAAAAACGCTGAACTTGCCAAATCATTCATTTTAAGTGAAGATTCAAAACAATTATTTAAAAAAAAAGAAAAGAAATCAGTAACTGCAAGTTGCAGGCATCGTCAAGTCCTCCGAGTACATGTGCGGAAGGCAGTTCTAATCAATGGCTTCTAAGGGTGCAACGTAAAAAAACGAAAAGTAGAGGTGCTAAAATTTCTCATCTCCGCGGAATTGTCTGCCCCAGCGAATTATTTCACATATATATATTACCATCCTATTGAGGCGGTATGCCTCTGCCGAAGAAAATGACAAAAAAAATACTCTCCAGGTAGTGAACAGCTGTGCAAGAATACACAAGATAGTAGACTGTAGAACCCTGCATCATTCATGCGTTGAATTTCAAATAAGTTTTTAAGGAAGCGTTTCTAGAGTAACAACAAGATCGAAACCTTGAGAAAAGGAAAAAAATATTGAGAAATAATATAGCAATAAGAAAGAGTACTGTTCTAAAATTTGAAAGCAGAATCATTCGGTGTGCAAAATATATTAAATGTCATGAAGGATATAGAGGGGCGTACCATCTTGATTTACAAATACTTTGTTAACAAAAAAAAAATTGGCCACTTCGAGGTTGGCCACATGTGTCCATATTCTCGACAAAACACCCCAGGAGTGGAATGCCCTTATACCATCTAATTCAAAGTCTCTTTATGCGCTGCTGGAACCACTTTTCTTAAGTGCCTCAAACACACGCCTGGACAGCTGCATCCATCCTTTAAGTAACCGCGAAATGGCGTGCACGCGGGGATTTTTTAATGACTCTTACAGATGATAATTACTGGGAGAGCGGTCCGGCAATACGTAAGCCCGACGAAACTTTGCACTGGTTCTACTACGCGCCAAAAAGACAGCCCAAACCCGATGAGGTTCCGTTAAATCACTATGTCGTGTGTATTCACGTTAGGTAGTGACACCCGGTGTCTGATCTAGTTCCGACGTCTTTTTGCCACGTCGTACAAGCAGCCAGACGTTTGGTCGCACTTGGGTATGGCCCGGCCGGGCTCCTAGTGGCTATTGCATGGTGGCCGTTGTCTCGCGGGGAAGGAGCGACCAGCCACACCGGAGTCCGGAACCCAAGTGTTTATTATCACTTCTCTCGAACTAAAGATAACCCCGAGCATGCGCACTAGCATGGACGCATTGCCGCGGGCCACGCGAGTGAGAACTGTCGTGTCATCACTACATCCCCCTTCTAAGTTTTACAAGTCCAAACGTACCGGTCGCCTAACTTGGCGGCCCGACCGAGTTACTTTTATCGGCGTATTGTCCGTCGACGTTGATGTTGAAGGGGAGTACGTCAAGTTCGTCGGCGCTGCTGTTGGTGCACGCTCAACTGCGGTCGGCTGTTGTTGGCTCACTGCACCCGGACTTGCTCTTGCCGTTGAGATCGCCGGACTGGCAGGAGCCGTAGTCTCATGGGTCGAACCGCCGGGATCCGGAGCGTCGAAACCAGCCGGAGACGCATCGAATGGTACCAGGTGCCGGCGGTTGCGTTGCAGGACTCCTGTCCCGGTCTCGACCACGTAGGAGCGCGGCCGCTTCGCTGGACTGAGGACTGTTGCTCGGTACCGCACGTCTTGTACCCACACGTCCTCCCCTACGGACAGCGGGCGAAGTTCGCGAGGGGCGTGACGGCGATTGAAGTCCTTTCGCTGGCGTCTTCGGGCCTCCCCGTCTTTTCTTTTGAAGTCCCTTCGTGATGGCCACCCCGGCTGCAACGTCGCTGGCATCTTCGGTACCTTTGTCTGCAACCGTCAGCCCATTAGCAGTTGGGACGGGCTGTAACCGGTCACTCCAGGGGTGTCTCGATACACCAGGAGGGCCATGTGCGGGTCCCTTGACTTGTATAACAACTCTTTCATGGTCCGCACCATACGCTCCGCTTCCCCATTCGCCTGTGGGTAGCCTGGGCTGCTCGTGACGTGCTGGAAACCGTAGCTCTGGGCGAACTCGGCGAACTGTCTCGAAGAAAACTGCGGCCCATTGTCCGATACCAGCACGTCGGGGATCCCAAACCGGGCGAATGTGCTTTTGACTGCTGCGACGACAGACGTTGAAGTCGTCGACGTCAAGCTGATGACCTCTGGGAAGCGGGAATAATAGTCCACGACGAGCACGTAGTGTCTTCCCTCGAGCTCGAACAGATCCGCTCCGACTCTCTGCCACGGACGACTGGGAGTCGGTGTGCTGATGAGTGGCTCGAAGCGCTGTACTCTTGTCTGGGCGCACCGCTCGCAGGCTGTCACGAGTTGCTCTATTTCGCTGTTTAGAGTAGGCCACCAAACTGCGTCCCTTGTTCTTGCCTTGCAGCGTCCGATGCCCTGAGGGCCTTCATGTATCAGCTGCAGTATCTCGTGTCTCAGCGAGCGCGGAATGAAGATGCGGCGGTCTTTGAGTAATAAGCCATCGCACACGGTGATGTTCCCACGTTCCTTCCAGTACTCTCGTAGATGAACAGGAACTATGGACAGATGTTCTGGCCATCCCTTTTCACAGAACCGTTGCAAGCCCGAGCAGATGCCGTCTTCTGTTTGGTGCTTTCGTAGGACTTCTAGGCGGGATGACACGAAATCAGCTGCTGCTGAAACCACTTCGCCGACGAAGAGTTCTATGGTGTCCACCCGACGTTGGCAGTGCTGATCCAGTTCCTGCACCGGAGCCCTTGACAGGGTGTCCGCCGTAGCGAAAAGTTTGCCGGGGACATAAAGAACGGTGAACTGGTAGCGCATGAGGCGGATGCGTAGTCGCTGAATTCGATATGGCATCATATCCAACTCCGCAGATACCAAGAGCGTGACGAGGGGGCGGTGATCCGTTTCGACTTGGAAGTCGATGCCTCTCAAAAACTGATCGAGGCGCTCGACCGCCCACGTTACGGTCAGGGCTTCTTTTTCGGTCTGGCTGTAGCGAGTTTCGGTGGTTGTGAGAGCCCTTGCTACGTAGGCCACTGCTCGTCTCTCGCCGGAGGGCTGATCTTGAAGCATGACGGCCCCGAGTCCGTAAGAGCTTGCATCAGCTGAAACTACTGTTGCGTAGGGCGGGTCGTACTTGGCCAACAAGATATGAGAGCTAAGCATGCTCTTTAGCTTCTCAAAGGCCGCTTGCTTCACGGCGCCAATCAGTTCTCTGATTGGCGCCGTGATGTCCGAGAGGTGTGGGATGAAGCGTCCCACGTGGTTCGCCACTCCTAGCAGCCTTCGTACCCCGCCGACGTCCGAGGGTATCGGAAACTTCTGCAGGGCCTCGATCTTTTCGGGATCCGGGCTGATTCCTGTCGCGCTGACCAACACGCCGAGAAACTTGAATTCTGAGGCACCGAAGCTGCACTTCTTGTTCAGTTTGACACCTGCCTCGTCGAGCCTTTGCAGCACTTGCTGGAGTGGACGATCGTGCTCGCCCTTTGATGCGCCGAAGACGAGAATGTCGTCGATCATGCTCACAACTCCTTCCAGTCCCTCTAGAATGCGACTCATCTGTCGCTCGAAGTACTCTGGCGCTGAACAGATGCCAAAAGGCAGCCTGCGGAAACAGAACCTTCCCATCGGGGGTATGAACGTCGTCAGCTGCTGACTTTCTTCGGAAAGCCTCACTTGGTGGAAGCTTGCAGTGGCGTTCAGCTTCGAGAAAACTTTCGCTTGCCCGAGACGTCCGAGGATGTTCTCGACCGAAGGTAAAATGTGACGCTCCCTCAGTACGACTTCGTTAAGGCGCGTGAGGTCTACGCAGATGCGGTAACCTCCTCCTGTCTTCGGAACGACGACCATGGCCGCGCACCAGTCTGTGGGGCGGTCAACCTTGCGGATGACTCCTTCAGACTCTAGCTTCTTGAGCTCACCACGAACGACGTCGTGCAGCGGGATCGGGACCCTCCTCGGCACGCTTAGAGCGAAGGGCTTGGCACCAGGTCGAAGCCGGATGACGTACTCCTCCTTTAGCTCCCCGAGACCGTCGAAAAGCCTGTCTCTCCGCAGCACCGCTGGTGTCTCCACATTGTCGACAAACTGAATGACTCCCAGCGCTTGTATTGCTGGGAAGCCGAGAAGAGGGGGGTGTTGTGAAGGCATGATGTAAATGTCCTGCACGGTCGACTTGTCCCTCCATTGCCGCGTTGCGGGGAACGTGCCCAGTACTTTCAGGGGGTGGCTTCGGGGGCCCGTGAGCTCACCTTCTGGTGCACGAAGCTTTTTCGGTACTCCAGGGAATGAACTCGACACCACGGTCACCTCCGCTCCAGAGTCCACTTTGAAGTTCACGTTGTGTCCGTTGACGGCCACGGTTGCGAACTTGGCTCTGGTACGGGCGCCTGCCGCAACTGTGTGCAGCTCGACGGGTCCCATGGCTTTTTTTTCGCAGACGGCTTCGAAGTGTCCAACTTTCTTGCACCACCTGCATCTTGCCTCTTGCCGGACAGTCGGAGCGGGGGTGAGGTGACCTGCCGCAGAACCTGCAGCGTCCGTCGCTTGAGCAAGGCTTGGGAGTCCTCTTTGCGCCTTCCCCCGACAAGTCGGACCGCCGTTGTGATTTCGGAAGACGTTTTCGGACTTTTGCTTCGGAGACCACAATGGCAGGATTTGGTTCCTTCTGGAAAACTTCAGACCGGGCCTTCACGGCATCTTCGTGAATACGGGCCTGAAGTCTCGCGTCTTCGAGCGTGAGCCTTGGCGTGCGACATAGCTTGTCTACCAGGTTAGAGTCCAGAAGACCGACGACAAATCAATTGCGGACGAGGCGTTCTTCGACTTCCGCGGAGGCGTAATTGCACTTTTTGACGAGCGTACGTAGT